CTGACACTTGACTGTAGTTCCTTTCCACAATTTTGTCTGCCATAGTGGCCAGTTTTTGTAGCTCGACGTCTTCCACGATGGATAGTACATCCTGAGCTCTAGCTGGTAGTCGTTATAGCCAAAGTGTGCGTAGAATCTTGTCATTCACTCTACCACCTGCGAGGGTTCGCATCTCCCTTAGGAGGTCAGTTGGAGTCCTGTCTTGCAGGTCTAGGTCCATGAAAAGCTTGTGAATTTGTTTCTCATCAGATTCCGTGTATCGAGATATTAATGCTGTCTTAAGTGCATTGTACTTATCCGTATCTGGTGGAGCTTCAATGATGTCGTCAACCTTGCTGATGGCTTGTTCATCGAGATGCCGTATCACCGCGTTGTATTTTGTCGAGTTCGATCGAATGTTGAAACATTGGAATTCGGATTCTAGTTGTATGAACCATAGCGTTGGGCGTCTTCGCCAGAATGTGGGAAGTTTCACGTTGCGGAACTCGTTCGCTTGAATCTCTGGTGCTTGTTGCAGTGCCAGATTCTCACGTACCTGCTCAGGTTGTTGCGGTTGTTCCTCAGCCATGGCGTTTGTAAGGTCCCTTTGTTCGCCCGCGTGGTGGCTTCTTTGAGTTTCCTCGATGATCACGTCGCGGTCACCAATTTAACCTGTGTAGCGGACGCGTACACAAGTCGTTTATATTTTTATCTACTCACGAGGAATATATTGCACTCAGGTAAGTTTCACACACGTAAGCTTTTATTTTCTTTGTTTCAGGTACAGAGTATACTATTTGCTGTGGATGCCATGGAACGCGCTGGAAGACTACTCCTACCCTACGCTAGCCGTAGCGCTGCCGTCGGCTTCCTGCCAGCGACGGCCGGTAAGTATGGCAGTGCTTGCCCTAGTTCGGTCGGTAAGTACCGTCTGCTGTTCGCTCTCTATAGCTATCTTGTGGTGCTGCCTATGAGTGGGGATTTGTACTAAAGGAGACTGTAGCGCGCACGCGCAAATTGTCTGCGGGAAACGAACACCATTTGTTCCAAGTGACATTAATAACATTCTAAATAGAATTAATGATGGAAAAATTGTAGGATTTATCACATGTATCAAAGATTATATAATAGAAACGTATTTCAGTGTTATAATTCTTATTGCTTTCTATTGGGAATGTATATTTTCAGATTGTAGATCACATATGCAAGTGCACATAAATAAATAACAAATCATTTTCTTAAATGACTATGTGCTATTTGTTGTTGTTTTTTTATTAATAATTTAGGTAAGATGATTATGGGTTTAAAGGAAAATCGTGGATATGGTTTATCTCTCAGTTCCGAAGTAAGCATATAAAGTACATGATGTTGGTCTATAGGCAAGACATTGGGTTAGGAAGCCAGAGATCTGTGGTTTGAGACTCTCCGTCGGAAGTTTTTTTTTTCTTCTTCTGGACGTTATGATTTTTTTTAAATACAACCTATTAACGAGGTTGAAGCGCTTCACGCCGGTCAAATCAGTGCTCAATATTTTTTATCGTTTTTACGAAGTTTTATGAATTAATTGATTGCAGTGAAAAAATTCAGATAGAAAAATTCCCATAGAAAAATTCAGAGCGATGAATTTACAATAATATTATCTGACCAATATTACATAATACATTAAATTTACAAAAACGATTACTAAAA